AGATACCTGCTAAGAAGAGCTGCAGACTGAGTGTGCTGCAGTCCACAAAGGAACAGGAGATCTGAAGAGCCCTTTGATTAGACACGGAGATACAGAATTTGAAGTTTGCCCGCTAGTTTTCGTCTTGCTTTGGTCCAGCATTTCCTCACTATGCTCCCTTTCCTCCCTTTTGGAACGGTAATGTATATCCTGTGTCATTGTGTGTTAGAAGTATGTGATCTTCATTTTGATTTTGCTTTACAGGGGGTTACAGATGACCAAGTCTCAGAAAAAACTTTGAACTTTTAAACAGTGTTGACACTGTGGCAGACTATGGGGACTTTTTACGTTGGATTGAATGCATTTTTGCATTATGGTATGGCTATTAGCTTATGGGAACCAGGAAGGCAATGTGATGGCTTGAATAGGAAGAAATGCACCCCCATTGGCTCACATATTTTGAAGGCTTAATCACTAGGAGTGAAACTGTTTGGAAGGGTTAGGAGGTGTGGCCTTGTTGGAGGAAATGCATCATTGGGGGTGGGCTTTGAGTTTTTAAAAGCCCACGGCAGGCCCAGTATCTCTCTGTCTGCTGCCCTTGGATCAGGAAGTAGCTCTCAGCTACTTCTCCAGCACCATGTCTGCCTGCATGCCACCAGCTCCCTGCCATGATGATAATGGAATAAACCTCTGAAACTGCAAGCCAGTCTCTAATTAAATGTTTTCTTTTGTAAGAGTTGCCTTGGCCATGGTATCTCTTCACAGCACTCCAACAGTGCTTGACACACAAGGGAAATAAACACAATGAGCTACGAAAACATTTATGATAGGCTATCAGAACTTACTGTTAAATGTTCATTGTCGTCTTTAACAAGCAATAACTTAAACAGCATGAGAACACCCCACATAGAAATGTCTGATTTTGCTTATTTAACTGAACAGAGTACATTAGCCACAGTAATATGTTGCTGAGACAATTTTATATGAATAAACAGTACACAAGACTGAAGTTTTAAAAAGTCTCTCGTCTATTTAGTTACCTATCAATTGTTCATTTAAAACTCACAAGGAAACACAGAGATAGTAAGGTAAGTTTGAGTCTATAGGTCATTTGAGTCTCTAATGTGTTAAAAAAAATGTAAATAAAGCCGGGCGGTGGTGGCGCACGCCTTTAATCCCAGCACTCGGGAGGCAGAGCCAGGCGGATCTCTGTGAGTTCGAGGCCAGCCTGGGCTACCAAGTGAGTTCCAGGAGAGGCGCAAAGCTACACAGAGAAACCCTGTCTCAAAAAAACCAAAAAAAAAAAAAAAAAAAAAAAAAAATGTAAATAAACATGCTCAAGTGATGAGCTTCAGTCAGCCTGAACTATACAATGAGTTCTAGTCCAGCCTGGGCTACATTGTAAGATTCTTGGTAAAAAGAAAAGCCCCACAACAATAAAGCAATGACTGCACTTATAGAATGTAGCCAGAGTAGTCAAAGGCATAGAGAAGAAGTACAAAAGTCGCTACTAGAAGCTGCAGCGGGAGATCTGAAGTTACTGTTTAACAGGTAGACTTTGGGATTGTGAAAAGGCTCTGGAAATGGACAGTGTAACAGTTACACAATAACATGAACTTTTTTCCCTTCTGCAGACAGGGTTTCTCTGTATAGCCCTGGCTGCCCTGGAATTCAAGAGACCAGCCTGCCTCTGCCTCCAGACTACTGGGATTAAAGGCGTGCACCACCACCGCCCAGCAACATGACCATATTTAATGTCACTAAATTAACTACTTAATGCTTAAAATGGCAAAGGTTGTATAAAGACTTTAACACACGTTAAAAAGGGGAAAAATGTGTTAGTTTACCACATGGAAGCACAGGAAGGTGGTAAGAATACAAGAATGAGGTGCCTGGTTTGAAATCTCTGTGTTGACTTCATAGCTTTGGGAAAGTAACTCACTATCTCTGTTTTCTCAATTAACAGACCTCCTTCATAGAGGCATGGTGAGGAACCCAATAATATACAAAGTGTTGAAAACAGTGCATATTATATAGTAACCATTTTGTTATTGTAATTTGAAACATTTTTGTGAGGGGGCCTCAGTATGCAGCCTAATCTGGCTTTACTCCTCTTGCCTTAGCTGCTCATGCGCTCTGATTTCAAAGCATGTCACCACTCCTGACTTCAAACATTACAAATCAGACTTTGGGCTCTGTGGTGGTAGGTATCAAACCCAGGTCCGTCCGTACATATGTCCAGTAACTGCTCTCCCACTGAGCTTTATCTCCAAACTGTTCAATGAACTTTAGGTCAAATGTCTAGACCCTTAAAAACTCTTCATCAAAATTAAATTATTCTTTTTGTTTTGTTATGAGACAGTCTCATAAGGTGGGCCATCCTCAAACTCAGTATCCTCCTACCTGGGCCCCTCAAGGCTCATGGTACCAATCTTAGCTCCTCAAAATTTTGAAGGTCAGTAAGAAATAACATGAAAACCAGTAATCTACTCCAACCTCCTCCTTTAACAGGTAGAGAAATTGAGAACTCAATAGTTAGCCTGAGGTTATGTATCTTACTCCATTAGTATTACTTTTCTTAAAGAAATAGTTTTGGATAATACCAATGTTGACATTCCCGACTTCCAAACCAAAGAAAACGTACATCCCAGAATCTGCTGTCCTTGTTTCTAGTCCATTAAGCATTTATTTGTTTGGAGAGAGCCAAAACCCAGCAAAACCAAACCAAAAAAAAAAAAAAAAAAAAAAAAAAATATCCTCAAAGGTAGCAGTCAAAAACACCTGGCCAGAAAACAAAGTGTTAAAAATTGTGAAAACATTCTCAAAAGATGCCTGCCACTCCACTACTGTCAGCCAGACATTAACTGAAATAATCATAGTGAGCCCTGAAGAGTCTGTCTATGTGGAGTACTAAATAGAGCTAATACTCAGCACAAAGAATCGGCTACACATAGTTCTTCATTAAAATCAAACAGAAGTGAGTAGCAATCCAAATACCACAAAATGTCTGGTGCAAAAAAAAAAAAAATCATCTATGAAGCTTCGGAGACATTTTTGGGCTTATTTCAACAGGGCTGTCTGTAACCAGTGTCTGGAAATTAGTTCACCCCCACAAAAAGAAAAATAACAGATAATTTTAAGAGCAAACTCAACAAGCATGTCCTTATTTTGCCGCCTCTCCAAGGTTCTTCCTAGAGAATTCAGATTTTTTTTTTGGGGGGGGGGCTGGTTTGTTGGTTTTTCAGACAGGATCTCATTCTGTGCCTCAGGTTGACCTGGACCGCACTGCTAATCCTCCTGCCTCAGCCTCCTGAGTGCGGAAACTGCAGGCATGATCCACCATGTCTGGCTCCTGAACCCAGCTCTAAAGGGATAATCATCACCTACACGTGGAATGTCTTTCTCTCCCAATCTACAGCTGAAATCCCATCAGTCCTGTGGAAATCGAAATGCATGATGTACGTGTATGGAAATCTGATGAAACCCATTATTATGTAAAATTAATATGTGCTGATAAGGTATTTTTAAAAGAAATATTATCCAACCACTTAAAAGGCTCCACCTATATATTGGCAGCTTCCATTGATTCCCCCCACTGACCTCAATGTAGCATTAACCTTTTCTTCACTGCCTTACGCTACGCCTCTACAATGCACTGTTACCAATATTCACTTCTGACCCATCCTCTCACAAGATCAACACCTGACACCCCACCCCCAGCAGTAGGAAAAGGGTAATTAACATGTATTGGGCATCTCACAGACAGGCAAGGGGCTACCAACTGTGCATACATTATCTCATTCAACCTTCCTCACAACAACGGGCTGGGAAGGTAAACAGGTGGTGTACTGCTGTTCACCTGTAGGGAACTACTGCAGAGTTAATGGCCTGCTTATCCACCATCACGTTGCTAGCCAGTGTATGGAACGTTGGTTTACTCTGCTCCAACGCGCCAGTGTTTCCGCCACTCAGTGTCGTGGGGGGGTGTTCGTTTTGTGTCTCCCACTGTACCTGAGGAGGTCCCCGCAATTGTTTGCTGACTTCAATATTCTCACGAACACAATGTCACCCTCTAATAATGAAATCACGCCTCACCCCTAGCCCGCTACCTTTACAGTTCTTTTGCCGAGGACTTTACCTACTTGGGCGGCTCTCCACTTGTCCACGAGAAATGCCGCAGGCAGCATCCACCCCAAACTGTTCTTCCCACAGAATGTATGAAATGCAACACACAGGAAACATACAACTCTTAGATCGTTCTCCAAAAAGCTCTTATTTCACACTAAGGCACACCTTGATGTCTACGGAAGGATCAAGCAGTCTCCAGTTCACACAGTGGGGCCGTCCGAAGACAATGTCTGAATAGGAAAAGGCTATCCTTCAGGCGTCTTAAAACGAAGGCATCCTACCGATACCATTAGGCAGCCTCCTCCCTTTCTGCCGTCCTCCACTGAATTGCAGTTTGGATTTCCGGCGGGAATGAGAAAGAGGCTAAGAAGCACTGGAGCGATTTCTTTGCCGGCTTAATTAGAAGACACAGAAGGCGCCCCGCCTTTCTAAATCTCTGCATTGAACTCATCTAGGAAGGCGGGCAGGGCACGGAAGCTAGAACAATCCCGCACCGAGCCACCGGTTTCTGCGGCTACCCGGGGGGCCAGCCCCCTCTCCAGCCCGCGCGCGGTCCCCAGGCACCAGCGCCCAGCGCCGAGTAAGAAGCCCCGCCGCGCCTACCCAGGCGCCCCCCGGTCTCATTGTCTGCACGGTGCAGCTCCGAGGGACACCGGGGTGGTGGTGGCGGTGGTGGTGGTGGGGACAGCCCAGGCCCCGCCGACCCCTTACCCAACAACGCAGGCCGCCAGGCTGGGCGCAGCCGGAACGCGGAGAAGCCCGGCAGCGACCCCGCCCCGGGCTGCAGCCGTCCGCACTCGCCCGGAGGGCCACGCCGGGCGCCGGGGAAAATGGAGGCACCCGGGTCCCTTCCTTTCCCCCGACCTCGAGGACCCAGGCGGTGGAGCACTCACCGTGGCAGCCCCTCGGTCCTCCCGGGGGCGGGGGGGGGGGGGGGAGCCCGCGCGAGGCAGCAGCTGCTCGCACCCTCCCGCCGCCGCCGCCGCCGCCTCGCCGGGCGCGACGCTCCTCTCCCGAACGCTGAGAGCGCCCGCAGCTCCCGCGGCGCGCGCTCCGGCTCCGAGGGACTGACTGACGGACGGACGACCAGCCGAGCCCCAGAGCGGGCGGCGTCGGCGGGGACTGGGCGGGGCGGCCGCAGCGGCGGCGGCGGCGGCGGCTCCCCCTCCCCGCCCCGGGCGCGGATCTCACAGAGCCCGCGCGTCCGGCCCCGGCACTCAGGGCGGGGCTGAGCGGGCCGTGCGGCCCAAGGGCGGACCGGCTCGCGCCCGGCCGCGCGCTCCCCACCCCCCCCCCCCGCCCCGGGCGCGCGGGCGCGCGGGCGCGCGGGCACCGGCTCACTTCCGGCGGCGCGCGCCTCTCCGGCCGCCCGCGCACGCGCGCGCACGCCGGCACCCCCCCCCCCCCCCCCCCCCCCCGTCCCCCCCGGGCCAGCCGCCCACCCCCTACCCCGCCGCCGCTCCCCCCTCTCCTCCACCACCGGCCGCCCCGCAGGCGCCCGGGGCCGCACCCAGCCGCGGTCGTCCTCCGCGGCCCCGCCTTCCCTGCGCGCGGCCCCGTGAGCCGCCTCCGGGAACCGGTGAATCAGAGAATGAATGAGCCGGGAGGAAAATCCCGCCGCGGTCCCGCCCTCCGTGGCCCTTTCCCGGGAAGCCCGGCTCGATGGCTCCCGTCCGAGGGTCTTGGGAGACGGAAGGGACGACGAGCCGAGCGGTCCCGGGCTGTGCGCCTTTGCCAGCCGTCCACGTACTCAAGTCTCCAGCAGTCACCACCCCCGGGCTGCCCCAGGCACCCGCGGACCATGGTGAAAATGTGGGGACACGGCTTTAGGGACTCTCATTTTAGCCCTAAACTCGGCAGTTTTGGGCAATGTATGGGGAGCTTTCAGGATTCAGGCATCCCACTCATCTCCACCTTTTCCCGTCGAAGCCTGTTCATCTACGTCCCCGGTTTCTGTTCTCCCTATTGAAATTGTTCGCAGTACAGTACGGGTGTTGGTGGCATCTTTCCTTAGCCTTGAGCTGTATCCCCGAGTATTATGCTTAAATACTGAGTTTGATTCCAAGCTCCAAATTACTCGGATACTGCTTATTTTAATGCAGGTTCGACTTAGGCAGACTTAGATTTCTTTCGATTTACGTCCTTATTATGACCTTCATGTAAAGTTGATCAAAGGAAAGAAAAAAAATAGTATTAAATTACGTTTGCTTGGCTATATACTTTGTTAGCATTAAAGAAATTGAACTGTGGTCTGGAATTGGCTGCGTTGAATGTTCAGCGTTATTTTTTCGTGTCTTCTTGTCTGCTCTTTAATAGTTTCTGTATTTTGAATTTTCACCAAAAAAAAAAAAAAAGGAACATGTGTTTCTGAAATTCTGGCTCTCTTTCTAAGAATGAGTGTTCATTTCTCTAGTCTAGGACCAAATCCTAGTCTGATTAATTGCATTCTACTTCCTGATATTCTTGAGGATTTCCAAGTGGTTTCAGTCTTTTTGGACATACAATCTTTTCTGACCTGGTGCACAATCTGTCCCAAACTGGTATTTAGAACTGTACAATACAATTATTTGGCTGTTTCACACTTGAGATACCTGTACTTTGGAAATACATGCAATTTGTATTTTAAGTTTAGTAGGTACTGCAATAATCTGGTGTAAAATAACACCATCTCATAAACTAAAAATAGTGAATGTAACCAATTCCCAGGACCTCTCTTCATCATTTGTTACCTGCAATTATTTCAGTATGCTATGTTCTTCCCTTGATGAATATCATACAGTTTATTCATTCATACCCCCCCCCCGCAGTATCTACTGTGGACCTTTGTATAAATGACAAACACTTCAAAAATTTTAATCAATAATTCATACACCAGCCTGGTCTACAGAGTGAGCTCCAGGACAGCCAGGGCTACACAGTGAAACCTTGTCTCAAAAAAACAAGATAAAGCAAAACAAACAAATAAACCATATAAATGTGTCTGTGGCCTCTTCAGCTCCCTTGTGACTAGGTTTGTTGAGATTAAAAACACCTAGATGCCCAAACCTAACAAACAGCCTATTGTTATCAGATATTATTACTAGACTGACTATGAACATGACAAGGCAGAGTCTCATTTTTACAGAAACCTCCTTTACAAAACAGGCTCATGAGTGCTCTCTGGGTAGCTCTTAGCCCGCTCTTCTGAGTTTTAAGGTTGGTTAAGGCTAAATCTTAGAAAACAGTCATCACTTTCCACCATTGAGAAAAATAAGCAGGTTCTCATCAGTTTCATTAAGCCATGAAATAATCCATTCACTTAATTAGAGTTTATTGAGCTCCCACTAAGGTGTAAGAATGCAAAGATTAAAAAAAAGACTTGGTGCCTCCCACCCTCAGAAAGTCACAGACTGCTGGATAAAGGCGGTAGGGAAGCCACTACCAGAAAATTAGTCTGTTCCCAGACCAGGACAGCCTATCCAGTGGGAAGATAAACGGCATGTTTAATGACAGGGAGGAGCTAACCGGATAAGGAGGGAACATTCCAAAGGCAACAACATCTGTGCAGGTGCGTGAACTTTAATAGCGCCATGCCCAAGAGGCCAGACTTCCAAGTAATTCCATTTCTTCGGGACGGATGCAGAGAAGGTTCAAATAGGCGGAGAATGGTAGAAGGGACCCCGTTCATCGAGAGCTGGTGTGCTACATGATGGAGTTTGAACTTAATAAACTCTTTGAAGTGTTTTTAGTCTCCGTAACAACCGAGTGTATGTTCGAAGACCAGAGAGAACGGAAGAATGAAAACAAAAAGAGGGCGAAGTGACTTAGAGGAGCTGGGCAGAGGCAGAGGGGGTGCAGTGGGGACGGTGCGTGGGTGAGGGGTGAATTAAGAAGGCGGAATCTATAAGCGGTCATGTAAAATTGACTGGAGGACAGAAGGAGACAGACAGAAACCTCTACAAGAGGCAAGCAAGCTTCCGTCTGGGGAGACTGTATGACACTGACCCTCCATGAAATAAGAATGCAGAAGGAAGAGCCTGGCTGAATACTCATACCGGAAAATATTGCCACAGGAGGCTAGGAGCTCAGTCTGTACACAGCTTACTGAGCAAAGATGATCTTAGTTCAAATGCCCAACTCCCATGTGAAAAACTGGGCCAAGTGGTATGTACCCCTAGTAACAGTGCTTGGGAGGTAGAGATGGGAATACCCCTGAGACTTACTGACCCGCTAATCTTGAGGAATGGATAAACGCCAGGTACAATTAAAGATCGTGTGTGTGTGTGTGTGTGTGTGTGTGTGTGTGTGTGTGTGTGTGCGCACACACACACGTACCATAAATTTAGGCACCTCAAAGGATTCTTAGGTCATTACTCTGTAAAGTGTGTGGCTTTTTTGTTTTGTTTTGTTGGTTTTCAAGATAGGGTTTCTCTGTGTAGCCCTGGCTGTCCTGGAACTTGTTTTGTAGACCAGGTTGACCTTGAACTTAGAGACCTGCCTGCCTCTGCCTCCAGTGTGCCAGGGTTAAAGGCGTGTGCCACCACTGCCCAGCACAAGGTGTGTTCTTAAGGACAGTGGCTTCACAGGATTTTAGTAGATGTGATGGCTATTCTTGGTTACCAGCTTGACTACAACTGGAATTAACTAAAACCCAATGATCTGTGAGAGACTTTTAACTAAATCATTTGAAGTGGGAAGATTCACTTCTAATCTGGATATTTGAGGTGGGAAGAAAAACCTCCAATCCAGATCTTTTGAGGTGGGAAGACCCACCTTAATCTACACCACACCGTCTGCTGGCAGCCTGTATAAAAACATGGAAGGAAGAAATGATCTCTGTCTGCTTGCCCTCTCCTTTACTATCAAGTCACTTTCTCCACTGGCAGTAGAACCTACATCTTTGGGATTCCAACATCTACTGAACACCAGCTGAGACAGCCAGCCTTGTGGACTGAACAGCTACTGGATTCTTGGAACTTCTGTTCATAAGCAGCCATTGTTGGATGAGCTGGACTGTAAGACATTATAATAAATCATATATATATATATATATATATATATATATATATATATTCTATAAGTTCTGTTACTCTAGAGAACCCTGACTAATACAGTAGGCATGATTTCCAAAGTAGCTTTGAGTTTCTTTAACCAAACAAGTAAAAGATGACGAGCAATGTGCAATGGATTTCTCAACCGGAGGACTTTTCAGTGGTTTCGGTAATGTACCCTGTGAAGTTTTCATACAGGTATTAGATGCAGCATATCCCAAGTGTGTTCAACTATGAAACCCTTTCTCTAGTGGAACAGATCATTAGATGTGTGTTCCACAGAATACATGTTGGGAAATGCTGACCGTGCCCAGGTTTTTATTTGACAGTTAGAAAACTGTTGTCCTGATAGATGAAATGACTCAACTATAAACATCTGCTACTGGCAGGTGCTCGGCCAGAACCCTCACCTTGGCCCTTTTCTCTTTCCACTACATATTGCTCTATAGGATACAAACTCATTCCAGAACTTTCCACCAATCTGGGGAGAAAGATAAAATAAAAAAAAAATTATTGAATATTTCCTTTTAAATGAGTTTCCAGATCAGTAATTTTTCAGAAAATTTCTGGCACTATAAAATTTAATGCTAGATTCCATTTCTCAGACATGATCCCAGTTCTCAGACCTAACAGCTAATGGACTGGACATTTAGTACTTCCTATTCTCAGAAAAACAAGACAACTTGTTCATTCCAAGAGACTTCTTAGGACTTTGGGGGCAACTGTTATTTCAGAAGTAAATTCTGTACATGTTATATTTGATATTAGTCAACATCTTAGTTTATGCTTCAATAACAGATGGCATTCTTTGATAACTTTTATATCCGGGTCAAAGGCTATCAGATATGAGACTAATAGGTCAACGAATGAGTAATTTGTTAATCCACTTATCAGAAATATTTTGGCATCTACTATGTCCCCAGCTCTGTAATAATGGCTAGAGAAACACAAGACATAGTCTCTGGCCTTCAGACAGGATGCCATTCATCATTAGTAAGGATGAAAGAAAATCCACATGTGGGAACTTGAGTCATTGCACCCTTTATCTGCACATTTGACAATAAATACTAAAAAGAGTAAGAACAAAATATCTAGAATATTGTGGGTGATGAC